ACTGCCCTGTTTTTCAGGGTATTTTGAAAATGTGCCAGAAACCCACTGAATCAAATCTCAAATTATTCTTCAATTTTGCTTTGCTTTTTGAAAGAAAAAAATGCGCCACAAATACATGTTTTTTTTTTAATGAGACAAAAAATGAAAAAAAATCATTTTTTAAAGTTGCCCTGTTTTTCAGGGTATTTTTGAAAATGTACCAGAAACCCCCTTTTCCTATTACCCCATGCCACCTCACTGTTAGTTTCGAAACGCGTTACTTGTGTACATTTCTGTTGTTTGTTCCGGTCTAATATCTCTTCGTTGGTTAATGTTTATCACTTAATAAATTTGGTATTTCAATCAGTTTCAATAAAGCACGTACACCAGATATTATTTTTCATACTTCATCGCTTGTCATCGCTATAACCTGCTGTCGGCACGACCGATTTCTTCTGCTATTAGCGAACTATCTACAATCATAAGGAGCTAGATCAAACTAATTTTCCCTTTATTTTACTGTTAAGATATTTCCTTTTGTTCGGTTCGCACTTTGGTTTATTTCTCGCTTTCAGTTCACTTTATAATCGCTTCATAATTAATTAGGCTATTGTTACATTTCTCAGAGATACTTTCTAAGTTTTGCTTCTACTGTATTTTCCTTTAGTTTGAACCACACACGCACTCAATTCAGCCACTTAAATTCAGCTACACTGAGCCATCACTCTTAACTACGCTACCTTCAAGCTAGACTTCGCCGCTTTCATCTGTGATTCCACAGCGATACCTTTATTCTCGTTTGTATTTTGATTATGATCCTCGCTTAAATAAACCGTTATTTACATTGTGCGTTCGAATTATCAACTCCGCTATCCTGGTAACCTTTGGAGGCTACACTAACTAGGTCGTAACACATGGAAGAAATTGATGGGTTCAGAGGCCTCTTTGGAGGAAAACTGCGCCAGGGAAGGGTTCAATGCAAAGGGAAACAACTCAGGCTATTCCAAAGCAAGAATCGGAATCATCGCTAACGAGCAGAAGGACTGCGCTTCTTATGACTCCCGAATTGGTTTTGGTACAGGAGGTCTACATGAAGACTCTAACACATGTGGCAATCAAGCAACACACTCCCAGACAATGGAGNTCCGCCGATAAAGCATGACTAGTTCCAAAACCATCTTTTCTCATTATCGTATGAGATAATGACAGAATTCTTTTCTCTAAAATTTGAAAATGAAATCGGACTAATCCATTGAAGCTTATTTACGAATTAAAAGGTGTCATAATAATTTGTGGTGTGAGAGGTGATGAATAAGGGAACCATTCCGGAAGGAAATCCGTTCGGTTGAGAGACCACCGTCTTAAGCAAATGACTCAGAAAAGTCGGTGATTCTGATAAGAGCGAGAAAAATAGGCATTACTTTAGGCGGTACTACTTTTTGAGTTCCCTTAGTCCGTTAGCCTAGTATCTGAGCCAACTATTCTTTCATACAAATAATTAATGTCTGTGAGCTCCAAAAAAAATTAAAAGTTGCTATTTTCGTGTATCGCCTTTAGTGCGTGATCGGATCGTGACCTCCCTTCCCTACAGCTCGCGATGTGGACGTATAATGAACACCGAATATGTCTTCGTAGCCAATTTCTACCTCGTTCTTGAAACTTTAATTGGCTTTATACACTTAAAACGTCTTAGACTGACTAACAAAATATGTAATTGAGACAAATCGGATCAGAGGGGAAGATAAGTTTGAACCCATTCTTTTATTAGCTTCTAGACTTTAGGTTACTACATTTTCTACTTCATGATGGCTTCCTGTCACTGTACCAGAATGTAACCCATGGCTTTAATATGCTTGTTTCCATTGTCTGGCGAGTGCGTTGCTTGATTGCCACATGTGTTAGCGTCATCATGTAGACCTCCTGTACCAAAACCAAYTCGGGAGTCACACGAAGAGCAGTCATTCTGCTGGTTGGCGGTGATGCCGATTCTTGCTTTGGATTGTCGAGGGTTGTCTCCCACCGCATTGAAACCTTCCTTGTTGCAGTGGGGCTGCAAGGAGGCCTGCGAACCAATCAGCGACTTCCACGTGTTACGACCCATTAAGGTGGCGCGGTATTTCCCATCAGCGATCAGCGAGTACAGTGACATGGCTTGCCTGTTGATGACAATGAACTTGAGCTGATGACCGATCTTCATTCCGAGGCAGATCTTGGAGAAGGGTGTGTTCCAGTAGGTTGGTAATTTAGTCTCTTGTAAGTCAAACCCAGTCCTGCCTCCAGCAAGGTTATGTGTATTTCTGTTGCTCCAGAGGTAAGAATCGTAATGGAAGGTTCTCTGAAAAACAAAGGAACAATTTTTCCATTTTTTTAAACTTTTTTTTTAATCAATAATCTCCAGAGTTACTGAAACGAGACACTAAGTTTACCTTTGTGCCGTCAGTCTTCATGGCCAGCGTCCATCCTCCACCACCGCATCCAAAGTTTCCCATGTGACAGTAAACAGGAATTTTTTGTGAACCAAACATCAGCGGGTACACTTGGCTTCGTCTCGACCTTATGGAAAAAGAGGAAGTCAAATATAACGGAATGAGTCAGCCTGAAAGCAAGCGTAAGACTGTATAAACATCATGCGATCAAGCGAACGTTTTATAATCTTGCATTTAAAACACTTAACTATATACTTACGTTCCCATGTCGTACTGCTCCTTGCAAGAAGAGAAGGGGCGGACTGGAACTGAGGAAGACGAGACTGCAAATTTAATATCTGAGTGCGTTGCGAACACTTCAAAGATGAAAATATAAAATACGCACCTAAACATATCATTGAAAAAAGTACCTGGAAGTTTTGGGGGCAAAGTGTCCTTTACCAGCGCAATAAGACTTCTTACTTCGGTTTGAAGCGTCTTAATGTCTTTGCTGATATCACCGCAGTGACTGACGGTACAGGATTGTTGGCTGCCGCGGAGTAGAACAGCGAACAGCGCGGGGATATTTGCCATGAAGTAAACTGCAATAAGTAAGCGCATCTTGAGAACTGAAAGACGTTAAGAAATATCTTCTGGTTGCTCAACCGGTGAATAACTGACTGTGGTGAATTTGCTTCGTTTTGTTTGTTATCACTCTTAAATACTGTTAGCCTTTTCCCCAAACATGTGCTTGATCAATCAACTATAGTATTAACTAAGCGATTCGGGTGAGCAAATAGGAGATTAAAAACCACGCCTTGGTAGAATGCGTAGACCTTTGACACTGAAAACGTAGGTGTTACCTCTATTTTACTGCAGTGCTGAACAAGCAAGCCTTGGGAGACCGAATTAAGATCACTGAATACTTTTGAGGTAATAAATAGATCATGTAGCCGGTGTAGATATGATCAACTGTGATTTAGAATTTACTTCTTCGCCCTTAATAGCTACATGTTCTCAGAAATGTTTTTACGTTTTTTCATCATTAGCTCAAACCAGCGATATTCAATGACGATTCGCGATCAACGGTCCTTGAAAACGTCAACATTAGTCAACTACGTAAAAGAATAACTACCAAATCGACTAAATCACATTATCTGAGCTGTCCTTTTTGACCTAATATACTTTAGCGTTTACTGAGCCGTGACTATTAAACCTTGAAATTCTCAGAGTTGCGTTCGAATGGCTGTGATTTGCGGCTCAGATTCCATTAAGCTCGATTCATTCGATTTAAATTGCACTGGAACAGAACTATTGTCCGATTGTGTGAAATAGTCATTGTTGCAACGACATTTAAAAAGAATGTTTGGAACGTCCGATTGATGAAACACAGAAGATCCGGATCTCTTTGTCAATGAGCTCTTGTCTCAGTTTGATTTTGCTCGACTTCCTGTGGTTTCCCCTATCGGACGTTCCAATCATTCTTTTCAAATTTCGTGGCAAAAATAACTCTTTCCTGGCGGTGTTCGCACTCCGATTTCATTGCATTGTAATAGCGTTATTTTCGACATAGCGGTACAAGCGGCAGAAATCGCCAGATTTTGACTGAACATTCCGTAAAAGTTAGACCGTTAATTTTTCTTTTCACCATAGGTACATATGACTTGATATATTCTGAAGTGTGTAGAAGTATTTTTCGTACTTATTTGTTGCGGTTTGACAAAGCCGTTTGAGATTGTGTTACAAAAGACAATACTTTCTTCTGTGCGCGCACTATTTTCTTTGTTTTGAAGTATACTTCTCTCCTGTAGAAATAACTCCAGAGATACGTTTCTCAAAACCCTCATTTAGGTTTCTTCTATTCTCGACGGGTACTTTGAAACGTTGTACGTTTTGACTAAACGTGGAGTGAGACAAATTCGTTCTTAAGAGGCGTCAGCTTCTCCTTTTACAAATCCCGTATTTACACTTGGTGGAAAAATTTCGTGTATTACGAGGGCTATGTCTCTTTAATATGCGTTTGCAAGTCAAGGGTCAATTCCCTGTCAAATGACTATAACTGGCGTCTAGGAATATAATTTCTGACTTTAAAATTATTCATCCCGCCATCGTTTGTGAGTGTAACTGTTGCCATTTGTGTCGAGATTTTTAGACAGATTGCAGTTTCGAATCTTTCTTAATAACGTCAGTTGTCTCCTAAGAACGAATTCGCCACGCGTGCAGGCCCGTCAAAATTTTTAACTTTCGAAGGAACGGCAACAGACAGTAAATTTCCAATACAATCCACGTATATTCACGCTATCTTGCTGCAACCAGAGTTCACTCCAACGCATCAAGATGCAAATGTCTCAATTTTTGTTTTACGACCACGATGCAATGTAATCACAATGCGCACACCGCCTGGACTCTTTCATACAATCGAAACCACAGGAAGTGGATCAAAACCAAACCGTGACAGGAACTCATTGACAAAGATCGGGATCGCTTGTGGTTTCGCCGATCGGATGTGGTTTCCATTGTATGAAAGAAATATACGATTTTACATTCATGTTGGATATGTTCTGAAGATATCAGAACACAATGCGATACTTTTTTAAAATATTAAAAAAAAAACATCTTTAAGCGCGTGCAAGAGTTTCCTCCGCTCGAAAGCATTGCATGCGATGCTGACATGAGCCATTTACAATGGTCTACCATATTGAGTCACTTTCACGGCTTAATTAAACTTTTTAAATCCAGGTCAAGATGGAGAAAATATTTGCCCAAGAACTACCTTTACGGATGTTCTAGAGGACTTTTACGAAGCTGACCACGAGGATGAAGTTAGCCTAAGAGCACCTGCCAAGATGGCACACCGCAGAAAGCTGACACAACTCAATGAACTTTTGATTGTTTCTTGACGCCCGAGCACATACGTTTCTGAGCGCCACCTATCTCACTTTTATGACGTAGCACAGTGAAAGTCTGTATCAAGATCAGATGTAAAGCGTTTGAAAGAAAATAATCGGGAAGAGTTCGCCTTCCCACGGTCATTTTCATCGAATTTCCTGGATCCACTGTTTTCCCCTAAAAGACCAACGGGGAAACTCAAAAACGAAACCTTCTCTCCGCTGGAAGATTTTATTTGCTTTGATGGCATTCAGGATCGCAACAAACCGTAGATATAACGAAATAGAACAAAATGGATAGCATTACTCTTCAAGAGCCGTACTCTCAAACCAAAACCCGAGGCTTTACAAAGGTGATGGGGGAGGGGGAGGGGGAGGGGGAAGGGAAGGGGGAGGGAAGACTTAAAATGATACCCGAAAAGCAGATCACACAAAAACAGATGTAAACCGAACTCGTTTAAATCAGTTCCAACCAGGAAACGCGTGTTTTGCTGAAATCTTCAAATAACCCTTTACCGCTCTATTTTTACCTTTATTCTCAGGTGAAAAATAATCAGGAGGCTTGGTTACCAGATCGAGCCTCAAGAAAGTGATGTCAAAAATCCCAGAAAAAAAATGCGGTGACGAATAAAGTATTATTCTAACGTCGATCAATTTTCAAGATGCACTTGTTGTTTGTAGTTTAGGTCATCGCAAATTTTCTCGCGTAATTCGCCGTCTTAAGAGATGCCAGACACCAAATAGGTACCGCCAGTCACGGTAGTGAGAACAGCAAAGCCACTAAGACGCTTGAAACGACGATGGACAATCTTATTGCGCTAGTGCAGAATGCTTTGCCTACCGAGCCAGGTACTTTTTCGATGATATTTTTAAGTGGGGCATTTAATGTTTTGAAGATTCCAGTGTTCTCAATGCGCTCAGATCTTAAAATCGCGATCTTATCTTTTTCATAGCCGTTCCCTTTTCTTCTTGCAAGGAGCAGTACGATATGAGAAAGTAAGTACTTGTCACCGACTACAGCGTTACATTGCGTCACATAGAAATGTGATCAGAAGTTATTGGACCTTGGACCCTTTATTATAGGATTACACTGTATATCGGTCTTGAAGTTTTACTTGGAGATATCTATCGAAACGTAGGCAAGAGGATAAAACCTGTGATCGTACTATTGACTATTCAAGTGTGATTATTTGCCACGAGACCGTTCACGGCATCGTAAAATGTTACAAGCTTCCAAAGTCTCTCGCTTGATTGTGGTAGATGTAAAGACCCTTCACTTACAGACAGCCTGACTCAATTTCTTTTATTTAACATCTTCTTTTTCCGTAAGGTCTGGACAAAGCCAAGTGTACCCGCTGATGTTTGGTTCGCATAAGATTCCTGTTTACTGTCACCACAGGCATCCCGAGCTCGCGTCTCGAAGAAAAGGGAAGGACCATATTTCGTTCCTCCACAGGCGACCCAAGCGTACTGTGTGTGATTTTGGAGTCTAAAGTTCATGAACGGCAACAACTAACATATGAAGATCGAGTTTTAAGCGTATGTGTGTGCCGTTGAAAAAAGGAAAAATTGCAAAAAAAATTAAGAAAKAATTTAAAAGGATAACAAAAGCGAGGAAAAAACGTGTGAGGTCTCTTTATCTTTTTTCCGTAGCCGCATTGTTGCCAACGGTCGTTTTAACAAAAATTATAAAAAAAAAAAAATATTAAGAAAAAATTAAAAAGGATAATAAAAGGAGGAATGTATCGTATGAAGTCTCCTTACCTGTTTTTCGTAGCTGCTTTGTCGTTTACAGTCCTTTTAACGCTGTTTTGGCGACTTTCTTTGTAACGCGTGCGGTGCTACCGGTCAACTGTGTATAAAAAACTCAAGGCTGGAAACTTCAACCGGTCCCGAATACCAATCGTCGCCATTCAAAGGCCGATAAATTCCGCAAAAGTCGACCGATCTTCCTCAAATTTCCACCAGCGACAGTGCTTAGCTATTATCTAGCCGTTCCAGTTGCAAAAACGTTCCAAATTCCGCTGCATCGATCTGAGAGCCGCTCCGTTTTACCACCCATTCTGGCGAAATCGCTTTAAAGGTACGCGTAACCCTTTTACCCTTACTACGAGATTTAAATATCAAGTGCGTCGGGTCGAATTACACGCACCACTCCCCAGACGGTGTTGTTTGACAATAGGGCAAACTGAACAGCCTTCCTAACGATCCCCTGGGAGAGTCTTTTATTTGGTCAGATGCTTTTTGATATTTGAGTCCTGTAGTAAGGGCAAAAGGCTTACAAAGAAGGGTTCAATGTTATAGGCAGTGGCAAAGAAGTGGTTTCCAAGGAAGTAATGAGGATGACTGCGTAACTCCTGACTCTAGAATTGACTTTGGCTCAGGAGGCTACCATGATGACACAAACACCTGTTCAAACCAGGAAAAAGACGAGTCGAGGCCTGATAACTCAGGTTATTCTAAAGCAAGAATTGGAGTCATCGCTAACGAGTAGGATGACTGCTCTTCTTGTGACTCCCGAATGGTACAGGAGGTCGCCCTAATTACTCCAACACCTCTGGCAATGAAGCAACAGACTCGCCAGACAATGGAAACAAGCACATCAAAGCCATGGGGTACAACCTGGTGCAGTGACTGGGGACACAGTTCACTTCCCAAATTTTAATTCAACTTTTTAAAACGATTTAGAAATTGGCAAGAAGACACATTAGATATTCATTAAACGTCGATGTCTCAAGCTGTATGAGCAAGGAAGTTACATGTCTCACCGTTTTAGTATATCGAAGTAAAACAACTATTCACATTAAATGTCGATGGCTAGTGGTGGATAATTACCTCGCCGCTTCGTGGCTTGGTAAATATTCACCACCAGACATTTCCACTTCG